TTTCCTCACACAGCCAAACTGTGGAATGCTCTGCCTTCTTCTGCGTTTCCATAATCAGACAATCTGTCTCACTTTAAAAAGCTGGTTTTCCGGCATCTTCGTGGTGTAGATTAATATAACCTTTTCCTTTTCGATTTTTAATTTCTCTATTCTTTTTTTTTTTGCTCCCCAGGCCCCGATGTGGGTCGTTGACCTGTGCTCGGGTGGGCCAATCCCCGTAAAAAAAAAAATTCAATTCAAGATGGTGTCTCTTAATATCTAGGATTCACCTCTTTATCTCTTAAAGCATGAACGAATAGAAAGTAATACCTAGAGCCGTAAGTGTTCGAACTCCCTGGCTGCTGGCTTCCACACTCCTAATAATGGGAAGGTAAAGACTATGGAAATTGTGAAGAGAGTTGTCAAGGTCGGCACCAAAGGCATCTTCGATTCTACGACATGAAGACATTGTTGAGCCATTTGCTGATTGTTGGACAAACTCGTGCCCTCAGCCTATCGCCCGTTTTCTGTTACGAGCTCTGTGGTAACCCACCGTCCATTATAGAAGAATGTGGTGGCTATCTCCGGGAAGGGAACAAGGCAACTCTTGTGAAAAAGATCGACATTAAGACAAAGCAGCCCAGCCAACCTGATGTGGTCATCGTCGATGCTCAACACTCTTTGTATCATATCGTTTGGGCACGTGGTTGCACAGCATCTACAGTGGCTACAAGTATGACAAAAATACTACAGTTATTCAGCGGGATCCCTGTTCAGGTCATCTTCCAACAGTATGGTGGTGACTCCGCTGAAGACCACTAGAGGGAACGTCGCGCTGGCCAGGACTAAAGAGTAAAATCCTACCCTCACAACTCCACTCCCAACTCGAGGGGTCATCATGAAGAGCAAGAGCAATAAAAGACTTTTCTCGCATCTACTTTGCGCTTGTGCCACAGACGTCTACATACTGATGGTCGGAGAAGATGGGGGTCTTATTTGCCATGTTGCCATGACGAGGCAGACGTGAAAATGGTGAGCCATGTCATCCAGGTAGCGCTTGAGAGCAAGGCAACCATCCGCATGCTTAGCGATGACACGGACGTGTTTGTCCTCCTCATATTCTGTGTGTGGAAGTTCTAGCCCACGGCTCAAGTGCAGATGGAGAGATGCAGCTGCTCGAGATGCACGCTGTCACAGATTATCCATACAGGAAAAAGAAGGTCAGGCGATCAAACAACTGCAGGAAGGCAACTTCCCCGGGCTTTACACTGCTCTCGGTGAGGAGACTGCTACAGAACCGGGGCTGCTGGTGGTTGGTCAGAAGTTCTTTGCTGCACTATGCAGTCAGCCCAACTGCACCACAATGAGACGCCCTATACACTAAGAAGAGTGGCAAACCACCCCAGCTGAAGTCACTCCCTCCCACTGATGAAAATCTCAGAATCCACATGTTGAGGGCTTATCTTCAGGTGCTGTTGTGGAAGGCAACTGACAAGCAGAGCGCCCCTCCCTCAACATAATTGACTTCAGCTGGGAGATGGTCAATGGGACACCTTTGTCCGTGATCTCCACAGGACCACCTGTACCTCCCGACCTCTTGAAAATCATCAGCTGCCATTGCAGAGCCGAAGGGGCTGAAGGGAAGGCGTGCCCTTAGGCCAACTGCAGCGACTTCGCCGCAGTCCTGTAATGCACCAGCTACTTCCACTGCGCGAATTCAGATGACTGCCACACCCCGCTCACGAAGCATGAAGAGAATGGAGAGTAATGCAGCAATGGAGTCTGATGTTGAAGATGAAAGTGATTTGGCTAGCGGGGCGAATGGTGTGGAAAACATTGAACTCGACCCTTATGCTTACTGATCTTTGGTTGAGGCTTTAGTTATTCGTTCATGCTTTAAGAGATAAAGAGGTGAATCCTAGATATTACGAGACAGCATCTTGTATTGAAAACATTGTAATGATTTTTATTAATTAAGCAGTATTCTTCTCAATACATATGGATTTTAATTATCATTGTACAGCCATAAAATCAATAAGCTACATGGTGGCATTGATCAAATGATCAAGATATAAACATATATATTTCGTTTATGAGTTATATTCATGTTTGGCTTGACAAGTGAAAAGTTCTAGTTTTTCAATTAATAAATTTCTGTAACTTGACAACTATGAAAATCATATTTTGACAGCTTCAATGGCACCTGGAAACCCTTATGTAGACACCAAAAGCATCTTTCTAGCATCTTCTTATCTGTAGTTATGGCCATTTTCCTATATGACCCAGTTTGTCCGACGGCTATCTTGGATTTACGCAAAATACGAAAGTTGCTTATTGCTGGGAAAGTGCCATCACCTGGATCTGATACTTATGACTCGGATTATTACAAATCCATTAAAATACCCTAGAGTACCAACAACTTCTGGGTTCAGCCAGATTCTAATGGACTAATATAGATCGCAGAGTTAGATAGAAGTTTTTGTTCATATTTGAAAGGTAAAACGATTTTCTTATCCCACAGTCCCCTCGTCCCTCCCAGGGGCCGAAGATACCGACCCTTAGAGTGGGCTCAACGCAGGAGTCCCCAGTGTGCCAGGCACAGGAAACAATCATCTACCCTATGCGTGGCAAAACACCAAAGAATGATTGGGTCTTTGTTGTCAATCAGCAAGATGTCGAGCAAGCAATCAAAGTTGAGAAATGCATCAAGTAAGTATTTGTTTTTTTTAATTCCTCCAGAGTAATTCTAGTTGAAAATTGCACGAGGTGAGTGCAGGGTATTTCATGTTTGTGCACATATTGATAGTATCATTCACTTATTTGAAGAAAAAATGAATGGACTATCGTACATTTTCCATATATTGTATAATATTTTGAAGCTAACACAGACTATTTATTTTCTATCTAGACTAGATCAAATATGCCATTCATACTCCTTACTCATATATCGTTTTAAGCTGAAGTTAAGTTAATAATACATTGCGTGCTTAAGGTTATTTCAATCTGTATACAGAGGTGTTCAGAAAAAGGAAAGAACTTGCAAAAAAATTACCTTGTTAATGGATGGGTTCATTCGAGTTGAACTCCTTCTGTAAAATATGTCACAATATTATTGTTCCTTATAAACTGGGATTAGATCCATATACACTTTTATCATCCATATTTGTTGTGAACGAACTTGGGATGGTGGATTAGTTACGTTGTTAGACGATCTGTCCTTGTTCCATAGTTGAGTGGTCAGAGTGGGTGTGTCTTCCGTGTCTGGAGTACTTTGGATACAAGTTTTATATTTTCTTGTTCCTTATTTATATACTTTAAATAGTATCTAAATTGAAGTCAGAATGGAATGTCACTATTTTAGTGGTTTATGCTTACCACAGAAGGTCTTTACGCTGATTTACCTTTGCGAAATTGTTTTCTATTTTTCTCTACCTCCATCTGGAAGTCAGAGAGTGGGAGAGAGATAAATTGTGTGCTTATATCATCAATTCTCAATGTTACAGTCTTCTGAGGAATTTTTATCATGGTCGAACCACCTGGAAGATTCATCGGAGCCCCATTCACTTACTGAGTGTTCGTTTGCAGAGCATACCAACGTGCATACTATAGCAGCCCTGGTGAACAGTTATGCTATAGTTATCATGGCTTTCAGGTAGCACACAGACAGTTTGTTGACAAACCCAGAAAACTACGGGAAGCACACATATGGGGGAAGCACAATAATATGGGAGTATGCATAATAAAATGGGGGGATGCACAATAATATAAAGGGAACAATAATATCGGGATTTGCGTATAATTCTATAGATGGCACAGTAATATGGGAAAACGCATAAAAATTCAAGAGAACACAATAATGTGAGGGAAGACACTTATAGTAGATACACAATAATATTATAATAACCGTTTTATGGTCATTTTTTTTACACCTGCGTGGGACAGCTGTAGTTACCTGATGGCAACTTTCCAGGTTGCTTGGTCTCATAAGGTTCTTATTTCGAAGGTCATTTCTCAGTTCATTCAAGTCTACATATGCCATCCTTTTTAGCAGCCTATGTTTCACAGCCACATTGCAATGCGCCACTTACATAAACTTACATAAGTACATAAACTGCATTTCCTTTATCCTGAAGAAAAGGACCTCTCACTGTCAACAAAGGCAACAGCTCCGTAAACTTCTTCCAGTCACTTCTGACTCTTGCAACAGAGATAAATTCGAAACCACCTCCAGCAGAACTCATCGGCACGGTCCAAAGATATGTCCCAGTGAAAAAAAATTTCAGCCTTCATAAGACCACACGATTACCTACACATACAGCACATTTGAAGTCAACATCACCTTGCACTCTGCCATTTACCCTCTGCACCTCTTGTATACCCATTTCACAAACTTCACATTATTGAATTACTATCAACAACGCTCTTACAGACAGCACACGGCCATTTTCCCCTTTTCACCATAGGTCCTTTACCCACACTTCTCACCATTACTTCTGTGTTTGCCACCTTCCCTCTTATAACCCTTAACTCCACGCCATCCTTCTGACTCTAATTCTTCTTCTACCTTTCCATTACTATTTTTTATTCACACTAAGTGATCAACAGCACACAACGATTTCCAGGGTAGACCAGTCCTAAAATCTCACGTTTGTGCCTTGAACACTTAATAAACAAGTGTTACGAGTTGGGGATTTAGAATATAGTTAAAAGTCTACCCAGATCCCAACAGGCAACAAAAAAACAAAAAGACAATCGGACTATAAAAGGGTAGACAAAGGATGCGAGTTTTCGTTGTGTATAATAAAGTACCATAAATTCCTTAACAAAATATTCAGCTTCCTATAAATTACCCTAAACCATACTTAACCTAAACATTAACAGTATATACATATTAATACAACATAAACAATTTTGAAGCAAGTGGACGTGGGGGAGGCAATACAAGATTACAAATACTTAAGTGAGGAGCTGAGATGGCTGACCAGTAAGGCTGAGTATTGTAGAAGACGGTAGGTAGTCACTGTGCCGTAGGTTTCCAGGATAGGTGATCCTGTGGTCACTTCCCAGAGTGTACTGCTCTCTCCTCGAATTGGAGCTGACAAAGAAGACTTTGAGGAGGTGACGCAACAACCAGGATATGGAGAAGGGAAACCCGGGGGTGGTAACTAAGACGAGTCATACTCGTGTTTCGTCCCTAGATGGCGTTGCTCGTGGTGCTGGGTAGGAAGATCAAGACAATAGATGGCGTGGTTCGTAGTGCTGGGTAGGTAGATCATGACAATTGGTGGCGGGGTTCGTAACACTGAGGGAGAAGGCGGATAGGTGTTGCAGGAGACTGGTGTCAGGCCGCTGGTATCGTCTCTTGAAAGCATCTCGTAGAGCTGCGAATTTGATGTCAGCTGGAGGGTTGGTGATGACTTCTGCAACTTGTGTGGCGACTTCTGTGGTCAGGGAACAGACCAGGGCGACGTACTTCTGTTTATCTGTAGCTGTAGAGCCAATGAGAGCTGCCTCCGTGTGGATAAGCCAGTCTTCAATGTTGTGATTGAAGACTGGGAGAGTGATCCGTTTCTCCTCCATCCTGTGTGAGTGCGTTTCTCCAGGGATCACCATTTGTGGGGTTTCGTGATAAAATATATTATATACAAAATAGTCTAGTACTGGAGATAGTCTGGTACTGGAGAGTTGCTGCGTGGTAGAGGAGTTGCTGTGCAGGAGCTTCTTTAGAGGAGGTGTTGCGTGTTGCAGGGCTCTAGGTAGAATGTCGAATTCACGGTGAGACTGGGAGCTTATATACACGGCCACCAGAAGTAAGAGTCGCAGGTGGCTCTCCCCCCGCGAGTCTAGGATGACGAGGCTTGTCAGAGAAACTCGGCGGTTGGCTGAACTCCGCCGCGAGTCTAGACGGTTCCGCTTGTGGTGAGAGTATCCACTACAGTGTCTTTAAATTTTAAGAATTTCTTAATTGAACTCTGGGTTTTAAAGATTAGTCTAAGAGAAATTTGTGGATAGAACTCATTGAAAAGCTTCTTAAGTTTTTTTCTAAGGGAGAAACTGAGTGGGCCTGTGTACGGGATGGTGAAATAGATAGAATATTTAGGGACAGTGTGGATTTGAGGCTGTGTGGGACTAAAAAACCTATTAAGGGTTTTGCCAATATAAGTGTCTGTAAATCTCTTAGGGAAACCATTGTTAAAGAGTAGTTCCATTATGTATTTTAGTTCAATATCCAAGTGGAAATAGCTTGAACATATATTGAAGGCTCTGTTGGTAAGAGTACGTACTAGATTACGTTTGTAATTAAGAGGAATAAAAGATGAAAATTTTTAACTCAAACCAGTGAAAGTTGGTTTTCTGTATAAGGCGTCTCGAAACTATGATGAAGACGGTGGATATTAACATCAAGGAATGGAAGAATATTTTATTTTTCCAATTCACAGGTAAATTTGAGGTTGCCATGTTTCGAATTTAAATAATTTAGGAACATAGGGACGTGATCAAGTGATCTGAAAATTAAAAAAGTGTCATCAACATACCGACGATAGAACAAAGGCTAAATTGGGGGGACATTCGGTAAGCCAAAGCTTCTCCCCTATATCTTTATTCATAAAATTATAGGAATTATATTTATTATTTTATATATATATATATATATATATATATATATATATATATATATATATATATATATATATATATATATATAACACTGGGCTGCATTTGAAAAAAAATTCATGAGGTGTGGGGTTTCTTAGCTGATTCTTTATGTATTTTGCGTGCTGATTCCAAAAATGCCATTCATTTTGCCCAATCAGGTCAGATTTTTATGCTATGGGAATTAGGAAAAAATCGAAATTCTTAAATATGATGTCAAAATTTTTATGCAAAATATATCATAAGAAATGTAACCACAACACATAGGACCAAAATATGTCAACTACATAGATGCCTTTACAGTTAGACATGCATAAATGGCTGTCGCAGAGAATTTCTTTGGTGGTTGGTGTCTGGGGCGTCCCGTTTCAGACACCAACAGTAGTCGGCGAGCATGTTGATATCCCAGCGACCCTGGTACCGCTCCTCCATTACACGGATATCTTGATGGAAGCGTTCTCCTTGTTCCTCACTCACATCACCACAGTTCTCTGGAAAGTAATCCAAGTGGGAGCTGAGGAAGTGCATCTTGATGGACATGCGTGCACCAAGAACTTTGTAGCTCAGAAGTAGGTCCTCAACAACTTGTTCATACTCTGGACTTCTGTAGTTGCCAAGAAAATTGGAGACAATAGACTTAAAGGCATGCCAGGCTTTCTTCTCATTTACATCCATGCTGCAATCAAACTTGGGATCTTTGAAAAGCTCTCTGATCTGAGGGCCATCAAAAATTCCTGCATTCAGCTTTGCCTCACTGACTTTTGGAAATTTTTCTTTCAGAAAATTGAAAGCCTGGCTTTTTTTGTCCAGTGCCTTTACAAAGTTTTTGAACAGACCGAGCTTGATGTGCAGTGGCGGAAGAAGAATGTTCTGCGGATTCACCAGAGCATGGGCAACAACATTGTGAGAACCTGGAGTAAGTCCACTTCTTGCAGGCCAGTCACGTTGCATGTAGTGCTGCTTGTCTGCTCGACTATCCCACAGACAGAGGAAACATGCCATGTACCACCAGATGAAAAAGAAATTTAATTGTGAAAAAATATATGTAAAAAAACACGGACATATACTCTTTTCCTTTGCGTCACGGCGGACATTTAAATGGCCGGCGAGCACGTGGGTGTATTTAAATGCATCGTAAGGGCATTAAAACTGACCGAAATCTTTTCTGTGAGGCTTGCCAATGTCTCGGATGATTTTTTTAATGAACGAATATGAGGACCCCATTTTGAGCGAAAAATGCCAATATTTTACCTGAATCTCCGCTTAAAATGCTATAGCACAAAATTCTGACCTGATTGAGCAAAATGGATAACATTTTTGTGATCAGAATGCAAAATACACCCAGAAAAGCTTAATAATACACAAACCTCAAAAACTATGCAGGGCAGTGTAATAGTGTATCACAGGTTGTTGTCGCAGTGAGCAAGATGCACAGTTGAGGACAAAATTGTCTGAACACTTGGCAATATCTGGCATCATCCTCTGGGCCATATATATATATATATATATATATATATATATATATATATATATATATATATATATATATATATATATATATATATATATATATATATATATATATATATATATATTTTGACTTTTTCAAAACTTTTTGTTTTCTAGGCTCTGATGATGGAAAATGATTTTTTCCGAAACGTTAGTGATTAAAGAAACCCAACTTAGTCAAGATGTTTGTGTTTTCCCTGGTTCTCCTCTTTGTTATATATATATATATATATATATATATATATATATATATATATATATATATATATATATATATATATATATATATATATATATTTATTTATTTATTTATTTATTTACTTATTTATTTATTTATTTACTGGTTTAATTGAACAGTACAGTCAAGAGAACTAATTTTGCCATAGATTGTAGGAGACGTGATGAAAAGACAACTACCAACCCTTCAGCATCTTCACTGTATAGAATAGGAATTTTGGTGTTACTGTGCATTTTTAGTTGATAGCAAGACCAAATTAATTATTTTTTCCTCAGGGATGGCAGTAACTGCAACTTTGGGATGCCAATTCAGGGATCTACAACAGCAGTGTGTCGCCAGAAGTATGTATACAAAAGGATGCTCATAGTGGGAAGTAATGCCATCGAGCCCGAGGAGGTTCTTATGCCATCTTGCTGTGTCTGTTATCTTGGGTGAGTATCTCTAAAGAGCTAGTGAGAGGTAGCTCTCCAAAGGTGTAACATCGTCAGGTAGGCATCACCGAGTCAAAAAATGGTATCCTACAGATATGAAAGATTCATCTCTTTAAATCTTTCTAGCTATAAGTTAGCCATAAGGCAGAAAGTCAAGACGATGTCGCAACAATGCAGAAAGACTTGCATGAACTTGTAGGAATTCGTGGTATAATGTAGTCTAGCACTCAGGATGGATGGAAACTCTAAGGTGGTTTTCTTGTATAATATAAGTTATATGATAGACAGCCTGGTGCTGGAGGTGCCATGTGGTGAGGAGCTGCTCAGTAGAGACGTTCGGTGAGTAGCGTGTTGGAGGAGGTAGATGTGCAGGAGCTTCGTTAGAGAAGATGTTGCCTGTTGCTGGCCTCCTGGTTGAATGAATGCTGACAGCGTGGAGCTTGCTGGAGGAGGTGTTGCTTGTTCAAGAAGAGAGACCAGAATGAATCTCAATGGAGAGACAAAGCTTATATACCCAGCAGCCGTGAGTCCTCTATGAGTCATGTTGGGAAAACCCAAGAAAGTCGCCGGTCTCTAGTTCCGTTGCTAGGTTATGGTAACATCTGCTGTCGCCGCTCGCTTGGTTGCTAGGATACGGCGGCGCATCAGAATGCGGATACGCAGTTGTAGGGGAGACGTCCACTACAATCTGTTCAAGTGGTTTCGAGACTGGCAAATGCTCTTTAACTTTACGAAATGCGAGACCCTACACGTAAGATACAACAACCCTAATCACAACTATTCTGTTAATAACACTTTCCTGGATACTGTCGACATGGAGAAAGATCTAAGCGTTTTTTTTTCAACACTTATCAGCCTACTAGCCGTTCAGGTGGTAGGTCTATTCAGTGTTAGTACAGGGATAAACCGGAGGCTGCGAAACCTGTGATGTTTTCTTTGTCACACTGGATAACACCATTCTCACGTGCATCTATGCTCGATCCATTGAAATATCGGTAACAGATACGCGCATTACCGTTGTACCACCAATCCATTCACCAACACCATTCACTGAAGGCGAAAAATCGAGATTTGAGAATTATAAAGATAGGAAAATGTTCCTTTGACTGCACAAATCTCAAGTATGTCCCAGGGCAACTAAGATGGTTCCGGAACTATGTCATCTCGATTATCCAAGTAGACTGAGGGCCTTAGGACTAACAACCCTTCAGACAAGACACAATAGGGTAGATCTCATTGAAACACTTAAAATCCTGAAAGGGATGGAAAATGTGAACCCGGGGCACCAACACGAGAGGACATAACTACAAGCTCGTCAAGCTATGATGCAGACGAATATAAGGAAATATTTTTTCACACAGAGGGTGGTAGACCTGTGGAACGGTATACCAGCCCAAGCTGTGGAATCAAGGACAGTATTGGGCTTCAAAATACAGTAGCCCTTGACAAAATTATTAAGAACAGTGGAGGGATCCTACACAGGCCACTAGCCTCCTTCCCCCGGCATGGCCACCTCGAGGGGGGGGGGGGGCGTGAGGGGCAGACGCCCCTCCCCCCACCCCTCAAGCTCACCAGGGGGGCCTCCACGGTCAAATTATAATTTCTTAAAAAAAGCACCTCACATTTTGTGGATTACTCATATAATGAACTGGCTTACAGGGGGTTGGGGTGTTAATCTTCATATTGTAGAACAAATTCTTAGTGCTACTAATAGTCTCTCAGAACAGCTTCAGTCACATGAAATTCTAATTTCTGTTGCATGTTCTCTCATTGAGTCCACGAGGAATGAATTACTAAATATGAGAAATGACAATGCTGTCTCTAGTTTGTTTGATACAGCCAAGACTTTTGCCTAGTCATTTAACATTCACACTGGTGACACATTTAGTAACATTTGCTCAAAATGAGGGAAGATCACAACGAATTCAGAAGGTGTCCTCACTTCTCAAACATTTTCTCATAGACACAACCATTAGGAAAAGTAATGTTGAGGTTTCTGGCAGCACATCTTTCACTCTTGCAATGAAAGTCAAATAGACTATTTTTCCATATAAGACAGGTTTATTTCAGAACTTGATAGGCGCTTCTCAGAAAACAGGCCCCTTTTGACAGCTATTTCGCCCTTTGACTGTAATTCAAGAGACTTTTTTTAAATTTGGGAAACTTAATTCTATCACACACTCGTATCAGAGCATCGGTGAAGATGAAATCCTTTTACATTCCTAAATTTCTGTTGCCAAAAGACACTTTTCTAATAAAAGTGAAAAGTCAAAGAATCTGATTCAGTTGTAAGAAGAGCTAAGACCTTTACAGTTAACTTATTCTGAAATTTGGAAAAAATGGAAAATAATCATCACTCTTCCAGTAACCACTGCTGGTAATGAGCGACTGTAAACCGAAGTGAGAACTTCATGGATCCAAATACTGGCGTTCATATGTAAAATATAGAATGTCTCTGGAAGGAAATAAAAAATTGGGTGCTTCGTGCCACCAATAAGCGAGAGCATTACCACCATTATTTTTCTCGGTACATGTTCCAGGCTCATCTTAAAGATCCTAACACCATACTGAACCACTTTGTCCTTCAGGAGGCATCACTTTATTCATCAGCTAACTTTTGGTTAGGTAAAGTTTGGTTAGGTTTACACACAGTGGGGGGGGGGGGGTCCACAGGGCCGAGGAGCACCCCTGCATAGGAGGTTTGGTCAGGTCCTTCTGGTTTCTCTGGTTGGGTTAAGTTAGACATGTTTACTGATATTCGAGAGTATTATGAGAAAATTATATAATTGGTTTATTGCTATAATTGTATTATTTATTAAAACTATGAAATGATTCATCTGGCAACACCTGTTGGCCAGTATTTTGTTATTAGGCATCTTATTTGTTGTTCTCCCTAACCTAACCTAACCACCTAAGAAGAAAAGTAGACAAAATTCAGAGTATGAACTTCGGTTATTCTAATGAGTTTTACGAATCCGGGTCATTGTGATGAGTTCTAAACCTGGTAACAAAGATAAAGGTAGTGCCATTTGATACCCTTGCTCTCTAGCAAGTAATATCGTGCGAAATCAGGAGAGCACCAGGTGCCAACAACTCGTAAATCTTCAAAAGCTTGTAACTAAAAAAACAATGGAAACTACAAATTTTTTGGACGATTTTCAATTTTCAAAAATTATTAGATTCACCAATAATAGGAGAATATTCTATACTAGAAGAAATGTGCAACCCTAAAAATTACTGTTCCTAATTAAATGGAAATACCCAAAAATTTGGAAGACTCGAAAAGGTATACTTATTTGGTTCTTGTATGGAAGTATTATCAGTCTATGCTCTTTATATCATTAGAAGCACAAATAATTTCCATGAAAAGTGTTTGTTGTATTTCATTTATAAAGAAAATTTATTAAAAAACACATGAATATTATTTAAAAAAAATAATCACCAGGTTCCCTCCTGTAATAACAGTGGATAGATCAACCACCCGAATGGCTAGTAAGCTGGCAAATGGCGAAAATTATAAAAAAGACGGTTTTCGTTGGAAGATGGCCTTAATGCTAGGTTAGTGAAGATGCTTAGAAGCAGCAATGTAGTTATAGGTCGGAGGAGGTAGGAGATGTTTTTAGTGAGCTGCAAAGCTGGTCTGTATGCAGCTTTGATGTCAGAGGGTTCGTTTTTGAAACTCCAATTCCATTCATGAGGGATGCAATAGCAGTGACCCATTAGGGATCAAGGGGATGAATCCCCAAGCTGTTCCAGTGTTTACAATACATTTATACTTCTAAAAACATTCCTGGCTCTCTAGCCAACATTGTATACCACTCGACACTCTAATCTATAAAATATATATTTGCAACTTTCTAAGCCCCTTACCCCATAGTGTGCAGCCCCTGATCCAATAGGGGGTGTTGCTGGCCTGCAGCTACTGTACTGTGAGGAGCAATTTTGCAAGCATTGTGAAGTTGGGGAGGGCAAGGGATAAAGGATACTGTTGAATTTGACAAAGCTAATCGTGATACCAAAGCCAACGAGGCTGTTGCAAATCATTAAGGAAAGAAAAATATAGATTAAAAAATGAGGAAGCTGGATCCTTGGCGGTTGCCAAACTTAAGTTAGTTGAAAAAATACCGTCAATAAGGTTGAAGAAGCAGTTGATAAGACAGAGAACTTACAGTAGTCGAGAAGTTATGCCTAGGTTGCGACAAGGCCACAAATGGCAGTTGAGTGGATGTAGGGTCAGAACAGGTCAGGTAGCAGCTAGGGGCTTTGCAAAAGAGCATTGAGAAGATTAAAGAGAGTACTGATATGGGAAAGAAGGAACGCTAGGAACAATACAATCATTTATGGAGTCTCTGCGAGTCAATCAGACAAAGGTGAAAATAGGAAAACACATGACAAGATGAGATTTCAGAATATTTGTATAGGGGCTCTGAATATGTCAGTTGCCCCAAATGAAATTATAAAGCTGGAGAAAAAATAGGACAATAAGCCACGCCTCCTCGGTATCACAGTAGTAAATGAGGGGAAAAGGTGGTATATTATTCGACAGGAGAAGCGAAAAATTTAGCAGAGAATCCAACCTTGAAGCAGAAAAGAGAACATTTTACGAAAAACGGGGACGAAATCTGGTGATGTTATATGAAAGTAGTGGAGTTAAGTGCACCGATGCAGAACTAGAGGAATGAACAATAGGAACAGTGATTCATCCCCAAGACCCACGACCTCCTACTCAGAAGGAAGCATGTAATGTATAAATAATTATTTATATGGCCACACCCTTAATAATATGATGAACAGGGTAAATGAGGCAGCTGTTGAGATTAAAATGAAGCCAGACTCACTATCATGTTCAGAGTTTAAACCCCTACTTAAAATCCCATTAACCTGATGTAATAAGTGTTGCGGAAAAGGAGGATCGATCGGAGGATTGCGAGTTTAATATAGAAGTATATCATTTGACTCATTTACAAACTTCTCTGAGGCAACCTGTACGAGGGGTGAGG